TGACCATTCCTCCAAAACGCTACCAAACAATCTCTATAGATCTATATAAGTAAATTATCATGTTTCGCTAACCTGAATCTTGCGACCATTTAGGGATGATTTCTCTTGTTTACCTAGAACCTGTGACTTAGCCCATCCCCGGCCCATGAAAACCGAGCCTTCTTCAGAGAATAGGCTTCATCCACAAAAAGGACTCCACCAGTGGCTTTGGATGGAAAGTGTGGGATTCAATGGACATTCATGTTGTTTCATATCTGGCTGGTGGTATACCTACCCCTCTGAAAAATATGAGTAAGTCAGTTGGGGTTATTATTCCCAATCTATGGAAAAATAAAAAAACGTTCCAAACCACCAACCAGATATGATTTCATGATTCAATCAGATCGCATGGTGATTTTAGTGGAAGTAATCGGATTTTGGATAGGGTTGATATGGGATTTTCCCAACAAAAAAAGCTGATTTCATTGGATTTCATGACATGTTTCTATGGAAGCCCTGTGTTCGTTTACCCGAGGGTATATTTTAGCAATGCCAAAAAAGATATGTTTTTTGACAATAATCCTACTAGAATAGTGATAATTCAATATCGGCTATCTATGTTGGGTGCTCTCTATATGTCTTCATTTGATTTCACGTGAGTATACGTTAATATAGAATGAGTGTACTATATATATATGTGAATATTATATCTAATCATAGTGAGATGTATGATATATCATATGATATGTACAAAACTATACATACTGTATTGTATACAAATACGAGATATCCATAGATATCCCCGGTGGCCCCCAAACGATTTGCCATTTGGTTACCAAATAACTTGGAGTTATGGTGGATACATCTATAGTCAGATGGGATTATAAATCAACATATAACGGAAGGGGGTCCTGCGTACCTGTAAGCAAGCTATCAATCCAGCCGGTTTACCACGCCCGGTCCACCAAATCTTCTTCCAAAGTGACCACCCGGCCTTTTCCTCTTTCTATGTATAATAATAGGGCCCATATATATATACATATATATATAATATCCATACTATTGTAGCAAGCGCCTCGAAAAGGCAAGGTGGGGGGTCAAAGAAACAAGGTGGAGGATCAAAAAATCGAGGTCCAATTTTTCCGGGGTCGGCGGCAGGGGCGGCAGCCCTTAAATAATTATATACTTGAGGCCGGGGGTGGATGACGAAAGCTAGCGGGGTAGGAGAAAGAAGGAAGGGAAGAGGTGAGTTGCGGAGGGACTGTCATCATCGTGTCGCGGCATTGTTCGTCCCAACGAGGATGCAACAATGATATATTGATATATGATATATAACAATGATATATATGGGGGAGGGGGCAGGGGGGGCCCTTTCGCGGGAAAAATCACGTGATGTCCTTGGGGAGCCCCGGAATACGTGCTAAAGCAAGAAGACTCTAGCGAGCTGACGCTAGCTTTCGTGATAATGACAATAATTGCCAATAATGATAAAATGTAATTGAATAACGATGATGATGATGATGATGATGATGGATGATGAATGATGAATGATGAATGATGAATGATGAATGGTGAATGATGAATGATGAATGATGATGATGATGATGATGATGATGATGATGATGATGATGATGATGATGACGAGGATGATGATGATGATGATGATGATGATGACGATGACGATGACGATGACGAGGACGATGACGATGACGACGATGATGATGATGATGATGACGAGGACGAGGACGAGGACGAGGACGATGGAGAGGACGATGACGATGACGATGACGATGATGATGACGATGATGATGACGATGATGATGATGATGATGGTGGTGATGGTGGTGATGGTGGTGATGGTGGTGGTGGTGGAGGAGGGGGGGGGCCTTTCGCGTGAAAAATCACGTGATGTCCTTGAGCAGCCCCTCCAATACTTGCTAAAGCAAGAAGACTCCAGCTAGCTGACGCTAGCTTTCGTGATATACGTATATGTAAAATGCTGTGTTCTATCATGTTTACAGATATGAACCTACTCATGCCCAAAAAAGCTCTAGTGATCTCTGAGGACTTGATGTTTTGAGGTCCGAACACCAGAAAGTCTGTCTTGGCCGAGAGGAATTCCTGAGGTGTCCCCACATTAATCGCTGAAGTGTCCGAACTACAGAGCTGGTCGCTGACAAATGGGGTGCAATGATCAGTATGGCTGGACAATGTGGACAAAGGTAGGGAGCCCGCATGAAATTGTGCTGTGCAACCCAAGAACAATGGTTGAGTATCGGTGAAAAGCGATGGTACCAATAGAACCACAAAGCGATGATCACGTCGTCTCGTCCAAGTGTCGTCGTCATTGTCAACCCAAGTCTCTGGGAAGGGCGCCACACCTCAAGGCGTAATGACTGAGCAGTGACTGGGCCATCCGCTTCGATGGCTTCACCATAGCCATGGGTCACCGCACCACCTCCAGGACTTGTGATAGACTTTGACCATGCCAAGGCCTCATGTGGAATACGGCTGGATGTTGCAATACATACCTTGGCCAGTATAGTTTGCCATGAAAATCATGAAAGGACATGACCAATGTATACCCTCAGTTTGGACTTGATGTAGAAACATCGTGATGCTTTACAGTGGCTGGCGCATTGACAGTTTAAAGTTTAAATATTCATCACTCATGCAGTGCGTACCTGACCTCTATCTCATGGTCTCTGCACAGGAGACATATCGGGGATTCATAAGTAGTTATCCATGTATATACAACATAGCTCAATGTCAATATATTGCATTCATACACACGATATTGCAATAATATAATTATATAATTATATATATATATGTGTATATATATATATATACACTACATGAGAATACACCCATCTGCTATCATCCGCTACATTCACTTTACAACCTTGCAACCCGATGTTTTTCTGCAGCCTGAAACTTCTTCCGCTTCGTCTGAGGCAAGTGGCCGAACGTGTGAGTTGCTCGGCTTCCGAAGGTGTGATGGCCTTCGGGAGATGCCAAGCCCAGGAGTCACGGTGAGTCACGGTCAGTGAAACAGTGTGGAAGTGGGATGCAGAAATGCAGAGCAATGTAAGCACTGTAAGGATCTGTAAGAATCTATAAGGATTTGTAAGGCTGTAAGGTTTCTCAGCATTCTGAATTCTGGATTTCCTGTTTCTTCTGTTCCCTTTCAGGGCCAGAAAAGCTTTCAAGTTGCCAAACAGTCTGATAAATCATGCATCAAAAATAATCAAAATACATACATAATATCGCTTTAACTCATGATACTGTCTCGTCGGTGTGAGTCCCGTCTGATGGCAATTTCTTGTCGATGCAGGTGCCTCAAGGATTGCCAAAAGTCTAGGCCCTGACCACACGTTGCGCCTCGACCACATATTCCCTAGAACGGCAGCCTGGAGGCTGGGATGTTCCAACGAGAGCCCTTCGAGGAGCTGTCAAAAAAGCATACGATCAAAGGATCATCCTCCTTGAGCTTCATATGATTCAAGGGTAGACAAACTCCAGAAGTCTCTTTCGCTTTGAGATATTGGACTCCCTGCTTGAGAATGTTCGGTTCCTTCAAAGGTACGCCAGAAACATCAGGACAAATTAAGGACACTTGGGGAGGAATTCAAAACACTGATCTTGATTGCGGGACGTGTGGAAGTGACTTATTATCATCTAGTATACTCAGTACAATTGAATTTTGAGGATCAAATATCTGCACTTCTGTTCCTACACTAACATGGGTAGGTCACGAGAATCTCAACTGCAGTGAGCATCCACACTTGCCGACCGTGCTCGTGCGGGAACGGACCTCACATTGCATCAGCAGTACTCTGCTGGAGGATAAGACTGTGCCAATGGGGAAATTGCTGTGATCTTCTAGTAGCAGTGCGCCGAGCGCAGTAGCACTGCATGTCCAAGATGTGGAGAATGCTGTAGTCCGACAGATCTACAGAATCATTGAATCATGGGGTTGTCGATACTATGAGACTCCCCCACTAGCTGCTACCCCTTGAACGTCCTTGAATTTGAACTCCTGAACTAGTAATAGCATGTAATAGCAGAGGAATGGCCTGGTGTTTCACTATTTGCAGATCTTCATATTCTTGACAGTCAAAGATGGAAGCCACAAATGAATCCTGGACAAACCCTTGGACGCACCTTGTATTGTTGGTCCCAACCGACTGACCCCAGCAACTCCCACTTCACCAAGGGCCCGGCAGTGATGGCCGCCCATGTGCTGGCAGGGTTTGTGAGAGGCTCAACCCCTGGCCACACCGTCTCTGAAGGGACTTGGTAGGAACTGAAGCCCTTAGGCACGGGGATCTCTGCAATAGCCAAGACTTAAAAACATCCAAAAACATCCATGAAATGCCAAGCACAGAATCCCAGCAGGGCAGCCGGGCTCGGCTCGGAGAAGCTAGAGAACCTGGCTCAGCTGGCTCCGAAGCAACAAGGGATGCACTACATCTCGTCACCAGGAGAACTAATGTTTTTTAATAGTTGTAGTATGTTGCAGTTGGTTTTTATCGAAACAAATGACAAATGCTCAGCCTGCTGGATCTGCCGGTTTGGAGGACTTAGTCGACTTTTCACGCATTTGACGCAAGCACATTGGCCATGGCTTCCCCCCAGCGTTTCGACGGTCTTTGGTCAACACGTGAGGCTGAAGCCCTCCGCAAGGAGCAATCACCGTTAAAACATGTTGAAACTGCAAATGGAAAAATGTTTTGTTTGCCTTCATCATCTTCATTGGTGGCATCAGAGTGTGATTGTCTCCAAAGACCTGAACACACATATTGTGATTCTAGACAGGTTCACTGAGAAACCTTAGGTTCCTCTGTCACGTGGGGAATGCGATCAGAATCCATCCAGTCACATTCTGAGAAAGACGAATGGAACAGTGAAAAACACAATCAACATAGAACTTCATGGAACTATTGAACTTTTTGTTTTGGCTGGTGGTATCCCATTATATGATGATTATTCCTATAGTATCGTAGTAAATACATCTCCTGGTGGATTCTGTCTTCGCCTCAACGAAGTGCTATCGTCACTGGTTCGCAATGAAAGCCACCTAGAAGATTTCATGTGCCAACAACCCCATGGTCAGGAACCAATGAAACATAATGAAACTGTGCATAGAATGAATCCATGTCATGGATAAATATACAGTACAATAGTTTGTATCTACGACTTGAATTGTCAACATGTTTTGCACCCTATGTCATGATAACCTTCTTGCTGAATGCCAGAATCTTGTGTCTACAAATTGTTGATGAACTGGGCCTGCCATATCGACCAACTCAAACAAGTCTGAAGATCAAGAATCTCACGAATTCCATCCTCTCCATTCAGCCATCGTTGTGTCTGCCATCTCTGATCCTTCCTTAGCTCCAGGCATACCATGCGAGGCTGAACAGGAAGCCTCAAGACTGGTGCTTGTGCTCCTTGAACAGCTGCTGGCGCTGCTGCTGGCGCTGCTGCTGGCGCTATATGGCATTGTACTTGTGGTACTTGTGGCCCAGTCGATAGAGGCAGCGGCGCCTCAGCATCGGCAAAGTGATACTTACCAGTATGATGCCATGCCATGCCATGCCATGGCATGCTATGCTATGATATCAAACGAGACTTATGAATCCATGGATTGCTCAAGAACTTTTCCTGCCCACAGAACCTATGCCACTGATCCAAGAATATCCAAGACACTGTCTGTGCAGGGTGGGGTTGGCACCCTCCTCTTTCTGGTTGAAAACCGTCCACGCAGGGCCTGGTCAGTATCAGTCTTGCAATGGCACACAAATTGAAGCCTAACTGCAAGTTACAAGTTACAAGTATGATGAACACCTCGATCACAACTAATACAGCTTGGTGTGTCATCACTTTGGTTCTGCAACAAGATCTCAATTGTCCTCCTACTGCTCCCAGCGGCCTCGACAAGGCCTTCGCAAGGCCCCTTGCAGGCGATTCTCCCAAGGACATCCACCTGGGAGGGGCATGTCTGACTTCAACTGGACTTTAACCGCGATAGTTGCAGAACGGAACGTGCTAGCAGCACAGGAGCTTTAGCCAAGGAGCTAGAATGCAATGGTAGAATGCAATGGGTCTGTATAGGTCTAAGTCTCTTCTTCCGCATCACGGGCTTAGATCCCAGCGAGCCCAGCTGAGACTGAGATGCCGCTAAAGCCTGGTCTGGCAGACAATTCCATGTTGCATTCAAAGCCTTGACAAGTTACATTCCATGCTTGTTCTGCAATTTGTTCTGCAATGCCTTCCATGAGTACGCACCAAGTACGTGTGCTGAGCTTCTGCTCATGTAAAATATCTACAGTATCTAGTACGTACATGGACTCTTTTTAATGATGATATGGAAATCTTTCGCATTATCATGGGGTATCTAAAGCCCACTTTTGCAGTAGCAGCTTTCCCCTGGTTAAATCTTTGAAGCCATCAACCATCCAGTTGAACCCGCCCCACCTGATCTTCTCCCGCTGGAGACACTTCTCGCCGGCAGCATGCTGCCGGCGGAGGGGGTGAGAACGAGCGCGGGGCCGCCTGTGAAACCCAGGGAAGCCAAGTTGGGACAGCACTATACCGACATCATGGCCATCATGGCTAAAACAAAACCAAAACGCCTCACATTGAGACTTGATCATTATCCAAGGCCTTTCATCCATTCTGAAACCTTGGCAATTCTCATCAAACATCAAACTATGAGCATCAAATTATAGGTATATCGACATATCAGCTATATATCAACTATATATCAACTTTATATCAACTATATATCAACTATATATCAAGTATCAAATAAACATCAAACAACTTCAAACAGCCAGCAGTTTTGGAGCTTTCCACTACCTCACCTGCTTAGCCGCCTCAGGCATCCAACGCTGCGCGGATCCACTTGCCACCTGCGGCGACACTGAGCGAGGCTTCGCCTGTGCGCGACGCAGTGGGGGAGCTCCCATTCCAGTTTCCCATCATCCCTCTGGTAATATCAATATATCATAAATATATCATAAATAATAAATATAAGAAAATAGGGATCATTAAGGATCAAAACATATCAAAACAATGACCTTCTCGAAAAATGGAATGAAATGGAATGCAAAAAATGACAAAATCCTACACTGACCATGTCGAGGGCGTGCCATGGATCTGCCCTGCCTTCCGGCGGCGCGCTGGTGCCAGTTCACGGTTGGGGCCAGATTCTGCCATCCTCAGCGTCCCGGCTGAGCTCGTTGTCGGCCGAAGGTTCACCAAAGTGCTGAGAAGGGAACTCCATCATGTAACGCAGGCGTGCGGGACTTAGGCTTCTCCTTGAGAGAGCAACATCAACTTGTAATTGAATATCTGTTCAGCTTTGTCTGATTCTAGAATGAGTACATGTCAAAAGGACGCTCAAATCCGTTTGAAGCATGGGAACTGCAATCGTTCACAGTCCACCAGTTCACCCGTGATTTTGAAACATAAAACAAAAAAAACAGACATGTCGTCAGCTGTCCGGCTGTCCTTGCCGTCCGTTGATCGTCACACACCGTCTCTTTGGCCTTGGTGAAATCATGTTGGTTGTCACCATTCCATGTGAAGGTCGACAGTACAGCTATGAAAGAATGTAATAGAATGTATGTAATTGTATTTATCTAAATATATGTATGTATATATCATATACATGTATCCATTGTAGACAATGTATGTACAGGCATACTACATTAGACATATAGCTAGATGAGGCAGGCTCCATATTGTTGTTTAGGTGTGTCTTCCCTTGTGAGTTAGGATGTCCCCTATCGTTGTACAATCCGTGGAACCTTTTGGCCTTCAAGTTGGAATAGGTCATTTCTTGTGTGTTTTGATTCACTTGCGATCTTGGGTTTGGGATGATTCACTATGCATTTTTTATCATTTTTTCAGCCGCTATCTGATTCGCTACTTCTGTCAGAAATTTGCTGCGATTCAGTGAAACTGATCACCTTCATTCTTGGTTGTCTGGCTTCCTCTCCTGGAGCCTGAGCTAACATATTATGTAGTCAGAGAGAGATTGGCTTCAAATGAATGACTCCCGAGCCACTCAATCCTTGTGTATCACAGCTCTATGTCTATATTTGCCTGAGATAAGCCACTAAATCTCCTGAAAAGCTACACAAGCCTTCTTGCTTGCTTCATAAAAAATCAAAGATTGTCCCAAAATGTCCCAAACGCTGCAGTTGCGGACAGATTCAGCTGCTTGAGCAATGTGCTATCATGTGCTGAGAGCACATTGAGAAACGGTTTGCTTTTGCAACATCAGCTCATCGTTAGGCTTTTGGTGGCGTTGGTCACCCTTGGCTCATTCCACCTTGGTGCTCCGGACAACTTGTCGACCGGCAAAGTCCACTTCGAAGGGTGCCTCGCTCGTGGCTGCGATGAGGGGTGAGGAAAAACCAAAGCGACATGGTTCCAGGGTCCTCATCTTTCATCATTTTGCTGGACATGTCTATATCACAAAGCAAAACCCAAACTGCAAGCAGTTCAACAAGAAGGTCTCTGCAAATGCCGGAAATTTGGCTGACTTTGGTTCTGGTTATATATCTTTGCCAAATGGAATATCCATCAAACTGATACCGGAAGGGATGAAAAGGGCTCAGAATGCAAAAAGAGAAGTCTCACTCTTGCGGCTCCTGAGCTTTGCACACCGCCATGTCTGCCATATCTCGGCAGATCTCTCCATAGACCTATTGGGATGGTGCAGTGATAGCAATTTTGGATGAATTGGAAAAGGACCTCCCGGATTCTCACGGGATTTTCAAGCAATGAACATTATTAATTCCATCAACAGCTATAAAATCAATCAATTGTCCTTACTTATCCTACTTTGTCAGTTGAGAAATGTTGCCACGATTTTGCCATGACCACAAGTTGTACGAAGAAATCTTGATGACGACTGTTTGTTGAAATTACCTGACTTCTTGAATGACCTACAGTATGTAGTGCCTCTGGAGGTTTGCATCGCAGCCCTGTTGGTGTCCTGGTAAAGCAGCTTGACAAGAAAAATGCGATGAATAACCATGGATGGTCATAAAGCCGTCAAAACATGGCAAAACAAAACCCTCCCGAAAGCGAACTGACTATATACGACACTGATCAGTTCGGAGCTGACATTTACAAACAATCCAATAAGGTCAAACTGACCCGTTGGAATCGTTGGACCTTCAATGTGCACAATTAATCCCATCGATCCGACATGAAACACCCCATTGTATGGCTCCATGCTCCAAATATGTCATGGTTTCATCATGTTTCATCCCCATCTAAAGCATGGTTTATCCGGGGCATTTAATGTGGGGGATCCGTCAGATGTCCTGGCGGCCAAGAGAACTGCTGGTTGAGCAACTGCCCACGGACCTGGCGGGATCGAAAGCTGCGACTAACAACCTCAATCATGTTCTATAGCATATTATTATACAACATATACCCTTAGATACGTATCACATTCATCTATAGATGATTTATAGATGTATCTACTAAAAGTTATGATCTATATAGTCTATATATATAGATAAGCATTGAAGAAATATTCCCAGGTCTGCAGCCAACACAGCCAACAAACGCAAAAATACTTGCTGATCCAAAACAATGTTGTGACATATATCTACTGTAAACTGCTCTAAACTCCAAACGTTGCCTGTCTCATTCAGTCTCCGCCCTCTGCTCCTATTCAGACAACGGACTTTCCCTCAGTTCTGCACTCCACTGGGACGTCGAGAGTAATTAAGTTATTCGTGGTGCTGGATCCAATTTGTACTAGGTCTAGTTGTACTATGACTAAACGCTGCTGACAGCGAGCGCGACTACTCGACTTATCCGGGGTGAAAAGTAGACTTACTTCGATTCCAAGACTTCGTGGCGTCTCATAACAGCAGCCTTTTGCGTAGTGACTGCTTTTCGTTGCTGTTTGGCTTCGAACTAGCAGTGAGGCACTCAGTATCCAATTTAAGTGTAGGGGGCCATGGGCCATAGATTACACAAGTCCAAACACGTTCATGAATCTGGACAAACCAGCAACCAAGCAGCAGCTTGTCACTGATTTTCTCTCTCAACACGTTATTGGCATTGTACTGCAAGTTTATATCACCATTGAGCGGCCAAGGAATGTTCATGTGAGCTTTGTTCGGCTGTCAAAGTCGCCAGTGCGGCGAGTTCCGCTTTGCCAATCGATCATTACCTCGATGAAACATATGTAACAGTGCTACACAGTTATAAGCAAGCTCATACTGGTTTCTGATGACTCCCGTAGACGCCAGTGTGGACATCAAGGCATATTCTGTGGGCAATGTGTTCAACTCTGTATTAGAGTTACATGCTCCGTAGACACCTGAACAATCCTCAAGGCCAACATCTGACTCTGCAGATATTATAGCATGTCTTCAACCGATCCCCTTAGGGTTTCAGGATGTGTTGGGGCGCACGGAAACCCTTCAACCTGGCAGTCCAAAGGTCTGCTATAGATAATAATGATTATATTTCAGGACATACACTTAGAACACCATTTGGAAAACGCATGGTGGAAACTTCGGCAGCGGAATGTGTTCTAAGTATACACTTAGAACACCTAAAAAAAACATACACTTAGAACATGTTCTAAAAGGTACTTAGAACACTTTGGGGTAATTTATGTGTTCTAAGTGTATGTCCGTAATTTCAATTATGTAAAGGATTGGTACAACCTTCGGCAGGGGGTCAATGGATACATAGATAATCAATATGATAATCCCAAAAATAAACAATCCCATTAAATAATCATTTGGGCCACATGTGGAGGTCATTTCACATCATCTCAAATAGAGCTATACCGAAAATTATCTAATTGGAAATATCTTTTTGGGGATGGTATACCCACATTCCCCAGCTGTATATTTATATATATATATATATACATATATATATATTATATATATATACATATGTATGTATACCAGGGTACCTTTGCAGATCCACATAAAGCAACTAGCAAAGGAAGATGGGATTGGAGTGAAAATTCAGCTGGAACCCCAAACCAAAGGGCGTTCAAACTCTCCGTTGGTGGCCAACAACAACTAAATTCATCTCAAAAGTATATCTATATATATATAAATATATACATATATATATATTATATATATGTGTGTGTGTGTTTAGATGGAAGTTAACACATTTTTGGGTGATCTTGGTGGCCTCCCTAGGTGGCCAACCACACACTTAGAACACTTCAAACATGTTAAATTTATTATGAAGTTGGTGACTGGTGTTAATGTTTGACACAGACTCACACACACATGCTCTCTGTCCTTCGAGTGGCCAACAGCCAAAGAAAACATGTCACTAGTAATTGATTAATTATATTTTCAAAATGGACAATTAAACACATTTCTGGGTGATGTTGGTGGCCTCCCTACTAAGTGGCGAAACAAACACTTAAAACACTCGCAAAAAAGGACAAATGCAATACTCAAGTTGGGGACAGTGTTTGATACACATGGTCTCCGTCCTTCGAGGGGCCAACAACAACTAAACCAATCTCAAAAAATATCCATTTCAAAAGGGAACTTAAACAAATTTCTGGGTGATGTTGGTGGCCTCCCTAGGTGGCGAACCGGACACTTAGAACACTTGTAATAAGGGAACATTGTACTCAAGCTGGTGACAGTGTTTGATACACATGCTCCCCGTCCTTCGAGTGGCCAACAACAAATAAACCCATGTCACAAGCAATTATCGATCTTAAAAGGGCACTTAATGCATCTTAAAGCACATGTCTGGGTCTGGGTGATGTTGTTGGCCTCCCTACTAAGTGGCGAAACAAACACTTAAAACACTTGCAAAAAAGGAAAAATGCAATACTCAAGTTGGTGACAGTGTTTGATACACATGGTCTCCGTCACGTCCTTCGAATGGCCAACAACAAATAAAAACCCATGCCACAAGTAATCATTAATTTATAAACGAAACTAAAAAGCAAAAACATTTCTGGGTGATGGTAGTGGCCTCCCTAGGTGGCGAACCACACACTTAGAACACTTGGAAAAAGGGAAATTTATACTCAAATTGGTGACAGTGTTTGATACACATGCTCTCCGTCAGTCGAGTGGCCAACAACAAATAAACCGGTATGACACAAGTAACTATAAATTTAAAAAGGACGCTTTAACACATTTCTAGGTGATGGTGGTGGCCTCCCTAGGTGGCGAACCCCTCACTTAGAACACTTGCAAAAAGGGAAAAACAACAATATTCAAGTTGGTGACAGTGTTTGATACACATGCTCTCCGTCCTTCGAGTGGCCAACAACAAATAAACCCATGTCACAAGTAATTATCTATCTTAAAAGTACACTTAATGCATCTTAAAGCACATGTCTGGGTGATGTTGGTGGCCTCCCTACTAAGTGGCGAAACAACACACTTAAAACACTTGCGAAAAAGGAAACATGCAATACTCGAGTTGGTGACAGTGTTTGATACACATGGTCTCCGTCACGTCCTTCGAGCGGCCAACAACAAATAAAAACCCATGCCACAAGTAATCATTAATTTATAAACGAAACTAAAAAACAAAAACATTTCTGGGTGATGGTAGTGGCCTCCCTAGGTGGCGAACCACACACTTAGAACACTTGGAAAAAGGGAAATTTATACTCAAGTTGGTGACAGTGTTTGATACACATGCTCTCCGTCAGTCGAGTGGCCAACAACAAATAAACCGGTATGACACAAGTAATTATAAATTTAAAAAGGACGCTTTAACACATTTCTAGGTGATGGTGGTGGCCTCCCTAGGTGGCCGAACCACACACTTAGAACACTTCCAAAAACAGACATTTAATACTCTGGTTGGTGACTGGTCAGGATGTTTGACAGACCTGTTCTTCATCCCTCCAATGGTCAACAGCAACTAACCCCATCTCAAAAGTATTTGTTTTTAAAGGAACCAAATAATCACATTTCTGGGTGATGTTGGTGGCCTCCCTAGGTGGCGAACCACTCACTTAGAACACTTGCAAAAAGGGAAAAACAACAATATTCAAGTTGGTAGCACTGTTTGATACACATGCTCTCCGTCCTTCGAGTGGCCAACAACAAATAAACCCATGTCACAAGTACTTATCAATTTTCAAAGGAAACTTAAACACATTTCTGGGTGATGGTGGTGCCTTCCCTAGGTGGCGGACCACACACTTAGAACACTTGTAATAAGGGAACATTGTACTCAAGTTGGTGACAGTGTTTGATACACATGCTCTCCGTCCTTCGAGTTGCCAACAACAAATAAACCCATGTCACAAGTAATTATCTATCTTAAAAGTACACTTAATGCATCTTGAAGCACATGTCTGGGTGATGTTGGTGGCCTTTTTAGGTGGCGAACCAATCACTTAGAACACTTCCAGAAAGAGAAAATCAATGATTACTCTCGTTGGTGACCGGTCAGAATGTTTGACACACCGTTTCTTCATCCCTCGAGTAGTAAACAGCAACTAACAACATCTCACAAGTATGTTTTTTAAAAGAAAACTTAAATAAGCACTGGGTGATGTTGGTGGCCTCCCTAGGTGGCGAACCACACACTTAGAACACTTGCAAAAAAGGAAAAATGCAATACTCAAGTTGGCGACAGTGTTTGATACACATTCTCCCCGTCCTTCGAGTGGCCAACAACAAATAAGAACCCATGCCACAAGCAATCATTAATTTTAAAACAACACTAAAAAACAAAAACATTTCTGGGTGATGGTAGTGGCCTTCCTAGGTGGCGAACCACACACTTAGAACACTTGGAAAAAGGGAAATTTATACTCAAGTTGGTGACAGTGTTTGATACACATGCTCTCCGTCCTTCGAGTGGCCAACAACAAATAAACCCATGTCACAAGTACTTATCAATTTTCAAAGGGAACTTAAACAAATTTCTGGGTGATGTTGGTGGCCTCCCTAGGTGGCGAACAAGACACTTAGAACACTTGTAATAAGGGATCATTGTACTCAAGTTGGTGACAGTGTTTGATACACATGCTCTCCGTCCTTCGAGTTGCCAACAACAAATAAACCCATGTCACAAGTAATTATCTATCTTAAAAGTACACTTAATGCATCTTGAAGCACATGTCTGGGTGATGTTGGTGGCCTTTTTAGGTGGCGAACCAATCACTTAGAACACTTCCAGAAAGAGAAAATCAATGATTACTCTCGTTGGTGACCGGTCAGAATGTTTGACACACCGTTTCTTCATCCCTCGAGTAGTAAACAGCAACTAACAACATCTCACAAGTATGTTTTTTAAAAGAAAACTTATATAAGCACTGGGTGATGTTGTTGGCCTCCCTAGGTGGCGAACCACACACTTAGAACACTTGCAAAAAAGGAAAAATGCAATACTCAAGTTGGCGACAGTGTTTGATACACATTCTCCCCGTCCTTCGAGTGGCCAACAACAAATAAGAACCCATGCCACAAGCAATCATTGATTTATAAACAACACTAAAAAACAAAAACATTTCTGGGTGATGGTAGTGGCCTTCCTAGGTGGCGAACCACACACTTAGAACACTTGGAAAAAGGGAAATTTATACTCAAGTTGGTGGCAGTGTTTGATACACATGCTCTCCGTCAGTCGAGTGGCCAACAACAAATAAACCGGTATGACACAAGTAATTATAAATTTTAAAAGGACGCTTTAATACATTTCTAGGTGATGGTGGTGGCCTCCCTAGGTGGCCAACCACACACTTAGAATACTTCCAAAAACAGACATTTAATACTCTGGTTGGTGACTGGTCAGGATGTTTGACAGACCTGTTCTTCATCCCTCCAGTGGTCAACAGCAACTAACCCCATCTCAAAAGTATTTGTTTTTAAAGGAACCAAATAATCACATTTCTGGGTGATGTTGGTGGCCTCCCTAGGTGGCGAACCACTCACTTAGAACACTTGCAAAAAGGAAACAAATTGAAAAGGAACACAATACTCAAGTTGGTGAAAGTGTTTGATACACATGCTCTCCATCCTTCGAGTGGCCAACAACAAATAAACCCATGTCACAAATACTTATCTGCCCAGAAATGTGTTTAGGTTTCCTTTTAAATTGATAATTACTTAATGCATCTCGAAGGACGGAGAGCATGTGTATCAAACACTGTCACCAACTTGAGTATTGTGTTCCTTTTCAATTTGTTTCCTTTTTGCAAGTGTT